AGTACCATCAGCCAGTGCCAATGGGTTGATCTCTGACGAAATCTCAGCACGAATACAGGGGGCTCGTTTCGCATTTGCCAGTTTACGCCGACTCTGGCGTAGACGAGATGTTCGACTATCGACCAAAGGGCGGGTGTACTGCTCATCAGTCCACTCCGTCCTCCTTTATGGCTGGCTGTGAGACCTGGCCACTGAGAGTGGAAGACATGAAAAGACTAGCTGTCTTGGATCATAGGTACCTGCGCTCTATTTCCCGTGTAAAGTGGCATAATAAGGTGAGCAACATTGAAGTTAGGCGTCGAGTTCTAGGTAAACAGGGGAAATCAATCGACGAAGTCGTGAAGTTACAAAGACCGAGATGGTTAGGACGTGTGTTACGTATGCCAAGCCATCGCCTCCCTCGACGAGCGACGTTAGCGGATATAGGGTCAGGCTGGAAAAAAGCTAGCGGCGGTCAAACAAAACTTGGCCTTACCAGTCAATGAAATCCACAACAGTTGGTCTAAGCCACGTAGGAAGGTGTAGACTTCCAGGCTGGGGTCCTCGGGACGGTAAAAATCTATGGTTGGAAACAGTTGGTGACATAGCTCAAAATCGTTATCAATGGCCAGCGCAGATGCATCCACTCCCTGTGACTTATGATCTCTAATGAAACTGTTTTGTTCTTCGTTATTACTCCTCCTTTGTCTCACACCTCTGTTTACTGTCTCTATTATGCTTTTCTTGTACTTTCTTCTCTTGCTTCGCGTACTACACGGAGTGTGGCGACTTGAACTGGCGCACATTTGTGCAAAGTTCTATGTCGAAAACAGACAGACAGACAGATACAAAAAACTACTATTACTAATACAACCAAAGGTATAGACATAAACGAACTTTATAAAAGGAAGAGGTTATGTAAGCATCCTAATACATCAAAGGGTTCTAGCTGTATTTAGTAAACACCGAAAAAACCCGTCGAGTCATTAAAAAAGTAACAGACAATACAACGAAGAAAATTTTCTTCATCAACGAAATCACTTTTAGAGACTGTACAGTCGTCTTTTTTATTTACCAAAAATGTATAATAGTCCATTATTAAGTAGTAGAGGTGACATTATCGATATAATTACTCGGGGAGTGGCTTTAGAATTAAAAATAAAAGTTGCACATTACGTAACACTAAACTGCACAAAAGAAGAAAGGGTGAAAAATTCGATAGGGTTAAAGTTGTTATTGAGTGAGTGGAAAGATAGTTGAGTGTCAATTTAACAAGTGTGAAGAGGGCGAGAAAATGTACAAAAGCAGCATGTGAGAGTGATTTAATAGAGAATTAATTATTAAAAATAAAAGCCAAGTAATCATTAAAAATAGAAAAAAATTGCAGGAAACGATTAATGAAGAGGTTAGGGACCATAGTATACAGAGTTCGGGGTTGCACTGACGAATCGCCAGAGCCTCCGGCATACACAAATGCCGAAACCTAACACATCCTTTGTACCATTCAGTCTCACTTTGCAGATAATCTTAAAAAGATAACTCTGGTTGAGCTAAGTAGCCTTACTCCACCAAGTTCTCAAGAATTGAGCTAGTAATTGTCTTGCATTGTCCTTCTGCTAAACATGTTGGATAATGTTCAGAGATGAATTTGGAAAGTGTGCACTTCGTGCGTCAGATATAACCAACTTCACAGGAAGAAGTGAATTCACAAACACACTTCCGAGTAATTATATCAGTTATATCATTCCCTCCCCCTCTCTCCTATATTACTCAGTAATGGACTAATATACGTTTTTTGGTAAATTTATATGCGATTTGACAGCCTCTGAAGATGATTTCGTCAATAAAGAAAATTTTCCTCGCTGAATCGTTGTGTATCTTCAATATATAATATTTATGAGAAATAAAAAATGTGCTTGAGGCACTGTCACATCATCCGCAAAGACAAACAACACTGTATCACAGTGCGTCTTGTCGAATAAAACTGTTTTGTCGGTCATGAAAGTGTAATCTGTGTCCCCTTCAAAGTTATAAGTATCGTGAGAATGACTAATTTCATTTCGCTAAGAAATCCCATATCAGCTTTCTTTTTTTTAAATATTTCCAAGAGGAAGTGATGCTGTGTGATAATGTGTGTGTGTGTTTGGAGTACACTTCTAAATTAGCAAACCGTGAGTTTAAATTGTAATGTAGAGCATAGAAATGCGTCGGTGGCACAATGGTAGAATGCCCGCCGACCACGCGCCTTTTGTGGTTCAGAGTACGATCCCCGGTCACTGGACGCACTCCTCTACCTCGCTAAGCCAGTAAGTAATAGCTGGTAAAGAGGGGAGGTTGCACATGAGGCTAGCAACCCCATCCCGTACGAAAAAAACAAACTTCATGCCTCTCTAGCTTGAAGCTCCATGTTTCACTGGGAACGTAAAGGAATAAAGTAATTTTTTTTGATAAAATAGAAATGTATCATTTAAGCACTAGTGAGTGAACATGAAACAAAAGGTTTAATTCAGACTAACCATCGACTGATTTCAACATAGAAGTTTGTACAGAAGTGACGCAGTTCAACTTGCCACACTCCGTCTATGTTGTACACAAAGGAAGACAAAAGAGAGAGTGTGGAGATTCGAAAGGACTATAAAAGGGCAGAAATCTGAAGGAGAAAGAATAGTATAACATGGAAAAAGCAATAAGGTTTAATGGATATGGTAAATCGTAAAGAGGAAATGAATCTAAGCCATTGGGAACGATTCAAGCCATATCATTATCACCAGCTTTCTCCAGGCCATTAGTTCTTACCACCCCGAGGACACCAACCAGACACAGCAGTCTACACTTCCCTATGTGACTGACTGGCTGGTTTTAACCAACTGTCAACGATTTTATGAACTTACTGACTGACTCCAAGTTTTGGTTTGACCACCACTAGCTGGTCCAAACTATGTCAGCTAACATTGTCTATTGAGGTAGATGATGGCTGGGTATGAGTAACATAGGTCATAGACATCTCAATCGATACAGCTTTACAACCTCATCGATTGACTCTCCCTCCTTAGCCAACACTCGATGCCTAACCTAGAATGGCAGATAGAACGGACAGACACCTATGATGGAAGATAACTAGCCATCTGATGTCTTTTACTTTCAATGGCCATGTCATAGTCATAGTAAAGTTCATCATCATATGTAGTTGTGTTAAATGCAGTAGGGAGGAATTCTCCAATGAGATTTTTGTGCTATATATATAATATACATATACTTTTGTCGGACACTAGTAACTAGTGTGATGTAGTTTAGTCCCATCTTTGGTGCAGACTGAATTCTAACAGTGAGGTCTACAATGTGTCCACCATTCTAGGTAGCTCACCATCACCGCCACTTTAAATTGTTGGTATTAGATGGTTGGAGGCAATCGACAAGAAGCCTTGCTGGCTCCTAGGTTTCGTGCTAGTCAGCACTTGCCAGTCAGTGAGATGTATCTGCAACCTTGAGGGAATTTATGTCCCACCCATCTGAGAATCGAACCCGTGTCACCCAGAGCAGTGCTGGAGTCAGAGACATTACCACTGAGTTATTCGGGCCCCATTGTAAACCCGACTGATAGAATTCAGTCTGCATCAAACAAAGGACTAGACACATTACGCTAGTTACTGACTAGTGTCCAACAAAAGTGTATCCAATACACTCCTACAGGAGGTCAATCTCAAGCCCAAACAGCTCAGTAGTAACGTGTCTGACTGCAGTACTCACTGGGTAGCCCGGATTCGAATCTCAGTAGGGACATGAGTTGCATATGCGCCTTGGTGATTGGTGAGTGCCAACTAGCACGAAACCTAGGTTGAAGACCTCCTGCCGATCGTCGTCTCCAACCACCTAAAACACATATCTCTTTCCTCATCAGGTTCTACAGTTAAAGAATAATTGGTATTGACAACATTGACGTTTCTTTCCAGATAACATCAAAGTCATAAGAAATACATGTATGAATAGAGTGTAAATAGATTACAGTTCAAAATATGAGTGTAATATAGTGTGATAACAGGTGTAAATATAAATAAAAAACTATTATAATGTATATTATTGTTTCCATTAATTCCTAGAACATCGGTCTTCAGCCGCGCGTCTCCATTGCGTTCGGTTCTCTGCCAACGTTTTCATCACCTGGCTCCAAGTCTGCTCACATGCTTTCACCTCCTCCTCCATGTCACCCCACCCTCACATTGACGACCAACTCGCCGCTTCCCATTTCATTCGGGTTCCACTTGAGCAATAGCCTAGCGTGTGTATCACTCACTTGATGATTTGTTTTCTCAGAGTATGGCCAATCCAATCCACCTCCATTTTGTTCCTGCACAGCTTGTTACACGATCGGTTTGTGCTGGGTTGGTTCGCCTATTGTCAGAGATCCCTCACTGTTGCAATCATCTTTTCTGGTTGGCCATCTGATCTTGAGCGAAGACAGCTGTGGATGAAAGTCCGCAGTTCATTCGAAGTGTCCAGCATGACGCCAAGTCTCTGATCCGTATAGTAAGTAGCACTAACTGAACTGACTTCACACATTGGAGTTGAAAATCTGCATCTTATTTTTCATTCTGAGATTAGTGCTGCTGACCTCCACACAGACTTGAGAGTAGTGGAAGTTTGCCTTGCTTTCACCGATCCTCGCTGCTTTGATATCCTCCTCAGTTTAACATAAAACATGAAACTTAGAACATAAATAATCACGAAAAACACAAAGAATCTACACGTTGTAGTAATGAATGCTCATAAATAATAGTCAACATCAAAATTGATCATTCGCGTGTTAATTACACCCTCAATATACCCCCTCAATTGATATTGTTTTGCTGTTTACAATTAAAGAGGAGAGAGTAAAACAGCAACCTTATAATTTCAGGAATATATTATTATAATAAAGAAAGAAAATATATTTTCCTCTCACCTTTTCATACAAACAAAACAGAACAAAAGAAGGAAGGGGGTTAAAAAAGACAAAGAATATGCGCACCACTTTCACAACTCACCTTGACTGCCATCACTGTCTGTGTTGGTACATGTAGCATACGATTAACAAAGCCATAAGCACCTCGACCAATCTCGCCTTCATCGATTAAATCGTCAGTTGAAAAGGCCAAATCTTGACAGATATTTGGGATAGTAAGTTTCCCTTGACAAGAATAATACTTAAATCCTCTATACATACATATTTTATTAAAAGGTTTAAAAAAAGAGATTTATTAGAAATTCTAATAAAAAAAGAAAAACACACTTTTTGTTTTGTTCAGCGAAGAAATTTCTCCATTCAACGACTTCATTTTCAAGCCAACTGTACAGTTGTATTTATTTATATTACAGAAAAAGGTTATTAAGTGGCACTAAATAATTGCTCAGTCAACATGCATATATGTGATAAGAATAACTATGATTAAAATGTTATAAGGGGTAGAGTTGTAGTGGATGGATTACGAAATTATTAAAGATTGTTTCATAGACTTACACCATCTCTGGCGTAGGCGTGACATCCGGCTATCAACCAAGGGACGTGTGTACTCCTCAGCACTTCGCTCCGTTCGTCCTTGTCTATGGCTCTGAAACATGGCCAATATGAGTTGAAGACATGAAAAGGTTGACTGCTTTCGATCATAGATGTCTGCGATGTCTTTCTCATGTAAGGTGGTTTAATAAGGTAAGTAATGTTGACGTTCGGCGTATAGTGTTGGGCAAACAGGGAAAATCAATCGAAGAGGCTATAAAGTTACATAGATTGAGATGGCTAGGTCACGTTCTGCGAATGCCTAACCATCGCCCCTACCCGCCCGACGAGCATTACTAGCTGATATAGGTGCAGGTTGGAAAACAGTAAGTGGTGGCCAAACAAAAACATGGCCTCATCAATCCATGAAATCCTTGACAGTTAAACTGAGTCAGGTAGGGAGATGCAGACTTCCGGGTTGGGGCCATCGGGACTCTAGGAATCAATGGCTGCAGACAATAGGTGACATGGCTCAAAATCGTTGTCAATGACAGCGCAGATGTATTCAGTCTCTGTAATCTTTCATATTCCGTTCTACCATTACCCATTCTGTTTCACTCGTATACTTGTCAAACTCTATTGATTCTCTTCACTCATCTTCTTGTCTACCTCTGTGTGCTATTTGGAAGGTGGCAACTCGAACTGGCGCACTTCGGTGCCAAGTTCTATGTTGAATCCAGACAGACAGATTGTTTCATAAGTGAATTGATATCAAAAATGTCAAGTGTTGTCTAAAAATTTTTTAAAAAATTAGGAGTACGATTACGATAAGAATGAAGATGTGAAGTGAAGTGGAATGAATTCAAGTGGCAAAATAAAATAAAAACTAGAAAGAACGTTACTATGACCAAGGTAAAGAAAGGGGTTTGACAAAACGTTTTTGAACACATAATTTAGGTTTCTGTTCATGTATAGCTAAAGCTTCGGCTATGCATAAGTGAAGAAAACATAAACTTTTAGATCGATTCGATTTTGGCATGTAGATAACTTTGAAGGATCAATCACGTGGGGCTAAATGACCAGACTCTAATAGGTGATCACAAATAGACGACTTCGCAGTTCTACGTTCGCCTTTCATTAACCAAACTGGATAGTGTTCAGCTACACGTTTTCGGAGAGTACGCTTACAACGTCCAATATAATCAGCTCCACAAGAGCAGGTAAAAGAGTAAATGCACATAGATGTGAACATAAGCGGTAATCTATCCTTGACGCATTGCCTAATCATGTTCCGTCTGGTAAAAACTAGTTGCAAGTCAGCTGCAGGAAAAGTGGGTTTAATACATTTAGATAAACGATTTTTAATTAATTCAGAAATGGTGTCACCTTTGAATGCAAGACTCATGAAGAGTTTTTTCTTTGGTACTGTGATTTGTCTCGGGGCGGATTCTTTCTTGATGTTACGTTCAATGAACCTTGTAGGATATGTATTGTTAAGGAGATTTGATCGAAGGTTATCTAGTTCACTACCAATTGTCTCTGTAGAGCAGATTTTACGAACTTTGGAGCATAAGGAATGAATAAGATTTCTCTTTCTCCCTAAATGTACCCAACTGTTGAAGTTAGTGTACTGCCCTGTGAATGTTGGCTTTCGGTAAATCGACCTTATCAACGTGCCATTATCTCTTCTATCTAGCTTAACGTTAAGGAAGTGAAACGAGGAATTCGACTCTTCTTTGGCAGTAAAAAGCAAAGATGGGTGAGAACCATTAAATATTCCAAGCAGTTCGGCAGTTGAAGAGTTTTCCTCACAGACAATGAAGGTATCATCTATATATCTCTTATACATAAACAAACTCTCGATGGTTTCCCTTAGTGGGCCGTTCTCTAAGCTTGCCATGAAGACATCCGCTAAGAGCGGTCCTAAAGGAGTAACTTTTCTGTAGTATAAATACGACTGTACAGCTTGAAAATGAAGTCGTTGAAAAGAAATTTCTTCGCTGAACAAAACAAAAACTGTGGTTTTACTTATTAATAAATGGGTATTTTTCATGATTTGAAAAAAAGGTAAAAGAAAAAACTAACGATGTTAAAGGTTCTTCAGATTTCAATTCTTTTAAAGGTGGTCTTTTCACGAATTGAGGTCGAGACGACATAATTGTTTCACCATTCACTCTTTTTCAACTGAACAGAAAAACTTTCTTTCTGAAAAACAACAAAAACAAATAAGTAATGACAGAATATGTGATTCGGGGTGTGTTACTTTTTCATATAAAACTTTAGCAAATCAGATCGCCCGAGGAGAAAAGAAAGAAGGGGAAGATCCAGGATCACACTGTTAAAAATACATTGAATGAGATAATTTCGCTTTTGTGAATTAAAGTTTTTGCTTCTTGTATTCATTAAGCAGCAAGCATCACTGGTTTGAACATCCAATTAGTTTTGTTTGTTTTTCTTTCAGTAAATGTGTATACCTATCACACTAGAAAGAAGGCAAATGAAAATAATTAATGTTAGAATATATATTGTGATAACTTTTAAAAAGAAAAGTAGATAAATGCTTAAAATGGACACTTCAAACAAATACGTGGTGTTCGTATCCGGGACCTTCTGGTTACAAGGCAAGTGCATAGACCGGCCAATCAACCAAACGGACCTGACTCAATGGCCCATAAGTATCGAAATAGGAGAAAATAGCTGCCCAGTGTACTCCCTGGTTTACACTGCTTGTCTAAGTGGTATTGATCCGTGGTCAAACTTGGAAACAAGTGAAATGCACTTCTAATGAACTGAATTTGAGTTGTTCAAGAATCCAGTAAATAAATGCTAAAAACAATTTGAATACATAGGTCTTTCAGTGACTTGAAACTGTAGCAATCCAAAACAAACTGCCTAACAGAGACTTTGACAAATCTCTATCGATCACAGTCAGACACATCGAAAGCAGAAGTAATTTGAAAAGGATGTTTATATATAAGTAGCGCGATGTTAAAAAGTGGCTACATAGAATAACTTCCTTGCTAAGTTCCAGTAAAAGCTTCCAATTTCTCATATGAGTCCTCATAGTTAGCTTAAACCCATTTCTGTGCGTAAATTCATTGAAGTAACTGTAAGTCGTCGAGTTTCTTGACTAATTCACCGCTCTCATCCTGTTTTTTATGTGACTCTAGAAATTTTCAAAGGGTTTTTTGTCAGTCTCATCGAGAGGATTACCGAAATCGTCTGTATTATTGACCAGGTAATAAATATAGCCCGGAATTGACAGTTGGCTACACGTTTTCTCCCTTTCAATGAGCCTGTACTTAAATACAATATTTAGATGGAATTTGCTGCGTTATTCGTATACGGCATTCATAATTCCACCTACACACTACAGACCCATCTGACCGGCAGCTCAAGGTCACCAATCCGATCACTAAGTAGTTCCGCTTTGGGCTGCTATAGTTTAGAATCACCGGTCTTCCTACTTATATTAGGTCGACTTATTTAGCATATTAGATTATGGGTGCTCGTATGGATTTGAATAAATTTCAACGTGGAAATCTACCCTGAGAAAAAACCAGAATCTAAGTAGCCTCCACAATATTGGCAGCTACTGAATGTATGTGCCCTGAAGCTGTACACTGAGAGTTCATGGCCAGAGTTGGGTCCACAATATCAAGGTGTAGTGAGGGCAGTGCTGCATCACAAATTGACAGAAGTTAGAGTCCACGAATCACTGGACTCCGGCGCAAGTGAGTGGCTAAATTGTCAACCTCATAACCTGAAGACCCAGGACTCGATTCCTTGTGAGATCATGGGTTAGCACTGTCGACAGTCAGAAACTAGAGCGAAACAGCTCAGTGCTCAATGGTCTCTAAATCACGTTGGTCTGTGACGAAATCTACATTGAAATTATGGGGTACGTTATAGTGAACAATGGAGCAAAATGAGTTAGCAGGTTATTCTCATCGGCATTTTGAATGGCATAGTTTAGTCAATTTTCAACATCAAACTTGAAATCGATTATTCGAGTGTGTTCCATACATACCCACCCAATACGCTGAACTAAAACTTTAAGCAAAAAGCGTTTAAGGAGAAAAAAATCATCAAGTGATTTCAGATACTGTGGTTACAAAACAACAACAACGGCAGGTCGTGTCACAAATGAAGACAAACGGACAATCTTTGCTCGCTGCTTAATTTAAAGCCTGACGAACCAAAGTGCTATCACTATAGTGGAAGCTACACTTGTGCGTAATTATGTGAACATCAACCACTTCATTGGTTAGAATCATTTCGGCACGTCTCAAGAATGATTGAGGAGACAAACCAGTGCAAAGAACGAGCGCATAAGCGAAACAGGAATGAACTATGGCTCTGCTAAGCTAACTAAAGATAGTAAATTATCAAGGCCTCTCCAGTCTCGTTCTGTGTAAGCGACCATTTGAATACCTAGTTTACTTCTCCCACAATAATAATAACTTTTAGTCCTCAACGATGTTCCATTATGAGTAAAAGTTATACGGTAACATTTACTGATGACGTTTCGAACACAATTTATTGATCATAATCACATCAAGGTATTTACTCAGTGCCACAGTGCAAAAGTTTTATTCTTATACCTACCTATACTATGTTGCCTGTATTTTTCATGCATTATTTTCACCATATTTTTAATACTTATAATTTGCACACTCATGACTTACTAAAAAGATGTGCCAATCTCTTTACCTCATGCATGACCACACTTAACCGAAGAAATAATCCTTCATTTAATTTAAGACTCGGAATTATTCGAATTTCAGTACCAAAAACTGTTTAATTAAAAATGTTGCTTCTGTGTACGTGATCAGTGAAGCATGCAACTAAAATTTGTAAAGCTGTAATTTTGTATCCAGAGAATATGATGTGTTAACCAATAATATAATTTATTCACTTAACCCATGAGCTCATCACACCTTTTTGGCTTTCGAAATTAATAAGTGAAATCTATTTCGTGAAATGAGATACTAATAACTTCGTTCCAGGTTTTTAAGAGCATGCTGCTTAGCTATTTAGGCACACATACAATTAGGAAAATAATTGGACTGATATTTCTGTGCTGTAATGTGGTTTTATAACATGCATGATAACATCAAACTCACGAACACTTCAAATATTTATGAAAACTATAACACAGTGAGCAACAGTCACACGAGGAAGGAAAGCAGAACGCGAGCTCCGCAGTAGCGTGTACTTTGTACAGTGTCAGAAATCATCGTACGCTGATCAATACCTCAAAAACTAATAGTCTATTTGTCATCATTTATATCAAGTCCTGACAGAAGTTGTGCCTCTTGCTCCACAGAATGACAGTTTCTTTTCATTACAAAAAATAACTCGTTTCGATACATTTATAACTGCCGCGAGGTTTCAAAGATTACATAGTTTAGGCTGAGAATAAAATTTCTTGAGCCTATACTAATGGTTTTTCAATAAGCATGTATGTCTACTTATTTCCTTTTAAATAAGTGGGTTCCAATATCCAATATCGTTTTTACGAGCTAGTATAAACCAATTTGATTTCTTTGTGCTCGCTTCTTGATTGTAAGGTATAGGTTCCTGATCTTCGGTAAACTTCTGCGTAGCTCGTCCAGCCACTCGATTGTCGTAGCTTTGGTTGACTCCAAAGGAAGTAGTACTGGGATTAATTTAATGTAGTTTGTAGTATGAGGTGAGTTGAGACTGTTACTACTGTGAATGGAGTTGATCCTTTCGCCAGTTATTCCTCCGGTATCGTAGACAAGAGAAAAGTGATAATAATAATAATAATAATGCTAGTAATAGATATAATTAGTGAAGTTATTCAGACTAACAGACAGAAGCGGAAATAGGAAAGCGTAACAACAGTCAGCTGATTAAGTTTGAAGAAATACATATATATATATACATATCTGTAGTAATAATAATAATAATAGTAATAGTAATAATAATTATAATATTAATAAGTTGTCAGGAGAGTAAGATGGGAGAGAATGTAAAAAAGTAAAACGACGAGTTTAATTGTCTGCCCTTGAATGGTGTATGCGATTTTAAGGAGATAGACCGTTTGGATGCAGTCCCTGTGTCGCTGCATGGTTGTCCAGCCTTCGCTCAAAGGCGTCCAAAGACGGTGCCATAGCTACATCTGCCGGTAAGGAATTCCAGGGATGGCAAACCCGCAGTGAAAAAAATGAAAGCGCACCCGGGTCCTTGCCCTCTAGTGAGCTATCCTTCTGGGATTTCCACGTGGGAGCCTATACCTACTCAATGGCAGAACACCTTTGTTTGGGTGATTGTGGTCATTTGTTATTTTGTAGGCAGTAATCAAATCCTCCCTAAGCCGACGGTAGCTAAGTGTGAATAGGCCTAATTTCTTCAGCCTTTCATCATATGGTTTGTTTCGAAGACCAACCACTCCTTTTGTTGCCCGTCGTTGGACTCTTTCCGAGAGGTTGGCGTCTCTTCTCAGCATTGGGGGTGCAATGATATTATGCACCTCAAGGTGTGGCCTGACGTATGTTTTGTACAACCTTGGAAAGAGCTCAGGAGTGAGTGCACCTAACTGTCTATGGGTAAAGTGTATGATCGCATATGCCCTCGCTACATCCCCTGTGTAATTTACGCTTGTGTCCATTTTTTCCGTTAGAACTAGACCTAAGTCGCGTTCCGACGTTGTGCAGGACAAGCTTTCATTGCACAGGGCGTAACTTTCATTCTTCAGCCTACAGGTGCACCGCTTTGCTACTTTGCACATTTTCAGGTTGAAAGTCATGCCACTGGCCACCGCCCAGTCTTCCAGAAGGCTTAGGCCTTCCTGTAGCCTAGCTGAGTCCTCCGGACACTTCATCGCCCTCCATATCTTTACGTCGTCAGCGTATAGGAGAGTCGGGCAGCTTAGACGGCGTGGTAGACCACTGATAAAAATCAAAAACATCAGTGGTCCTGGGACAGAACCCTGCAACACTCCTGATGACCAGCCGTGCCAAGACAATCGGACTCGGTTTACCTTAGTGCGAAATTGCCTGTCGGCTAGGTAGTCCTTTAGCCATGACAGAAGTGGTTCACCCATGCCTGCCTGGCTTATTTTATGTAGGAGAAGGTCATGATGAACAGTGTCAAATGCCTTCTCAAAGTCTAGGAAGACCACATGGAC